TGGTCCCTGTGTGTGTGTGTGTTGTAAAGTAGTCACCGCTCCAGCTCACTACTGTGATGGGACTACAATCTCAATACAAATTAGTATACTAAATGTGAGATTGTAGTCCATCATGGGAGCGAGCTTGGAGCGGTGGCTACATTACAACACACACAGGCACCATGGGGAACAAAAGTAGCCACCCTCCAGTAGGAAGAACAGTGTCCGCACCAATTCTGAGTTGATTTGATGATCTACGCTGATTGCTGGACAAATAAAGCACATTTTTGTTAATAGGGTACTTGAATGTATTTTTTAAGATTTCACTTTAGTGTCACTTTAAGCTGTACCCCGAAAAAAATGCGCTTTTTTTTGTGTCTCAATTCCTTATAAAATATAGTAACACTTCCTGGTATGTGAGGGTATCTAGGTTCTCCTGTCAATACAATCTCATAGCTGTATATCTGCTGTGTGAAATCCAAAGTTGGCCATACAACTATAGATTATCTGCAGATTTTCTATGGACAGATGGAAAAAGTGCAACAGATTCCTCCATCTACGCTAAACTGTGCGGATGGATGAATCTCCCACTGGGACAAGCTTCAGTATGTTGCTAGTCTGCCACGCTGGCACTCAAAACACCTGAACAGTGCCTACTCCAATCAGATCTTTGAGGTAATTTGACAAACAGCGGGGTCGACTAGCAAGATACTGAAGTTTGGACCAGTGGGAGATTCCTCCATCCACACAGTTTAGCGTAGATGGAGGAATCCGTTGCACTTTTTCCATCTGACCATAGAAAATCTGCAGATAATATATAAGTGCATGGCCAGCTGTTGCATTCCCATTGATTTGGAGATTTGGGGATTTTACTACTGCGCTGCTCTCTATTCTCCTTCCTGGAGGAAGCAAAACCTTGCCTCTACCAAGAGGTCCACTTCCATATAGAGACACAGTGAATGCATGGGCTTGGCCCTTTACCTATTGTTTGGGCAAAACTCTACAGTTCCACTTTAAAGTTGAAAAGGTACTTTCCATGATGTGGCAAGTTACCTTTTTTTCTGTCATATTTTTTTTTTAACCAGTCTGTCTATTTTTTATTATTTCTATTCACAGAACTACTTTCCATTTCAATTTGTGAAAACAGAAATTATTTTGCCAATTGTTATAACATAGACTTCATTGTTTTTCCACTACTAGGGGCTTGTTCACACCAAATGCGGACCAGATCTGCATGAGTTTCTGCACACGCAGTGTAGTATGTTTTGCCGCGTTTTTGACGTGTTCTGGGCCATTTAAAAAAAAAGAATATATATATATATATCTATCATTAGCCTAAAATGGGCTTTCAGTGCATTCCAGGGCATTTGCATGCGGTTTTGCTGCGTTTGCATGTGTTTTTCCACATGCTCTGGAAATGAACGCTGCGGTGTGAACTAGAGGCCAAAATACCATTGTACTACATTGGACGCAGGTTTGATCTGTTCTGTAACTGCTCTGCTCTGCACCTGGAACGCTTTTGGTGTGAACTAGCCCTAAGGCTGGGTTAACACCTGGGCGTACTATGGGCGTGTTTTTTCTGCACGTTTTTCAGCTCGTTTTTGCATGTTTTTTTAGCACGTTTTTCCTTTCAGTGAAACGTGCGTTCGATGCTCGTTTTTATACCTCCCTGGCAGTATGATTTTTTTTTTTTTTTTTCCTTTTTTATTTTATATCTTTTTTCTGTTTTTTGTTTTTTTTTAAACTTTCAAACTTCCCCCCGGTTCCACCCCCCTGCGACACGGCCTCTCCCAAGGGACAGAAGACTGCAGCGGCCGGAGGACACAGCGGGGATAGCGGACAAGGTAAGTCCTACGCTGTATTCCCGAGTGTGGCTCGGGGTTTACCGCTTTGTTAACCCCTAGCCACACTCGGGTATACCAATGGATACGCACGGAAAAACGCCCCAAAAGAAGCTCCTGTACTTGTTTGGGAGTAGGGCGTTTTTCAGTGCGTCTACTTCCTGAAATACGCCCAGGTGGGAACCATGCACATAGGAAATTATGGGATTTCCCTTGCTGAGCGTTTTTCAGCGCTTCGATCAGCGCCGAAAAACACCCAGGTGTGAACCAGCACTAAGACAGAGGTGCGTAGGTTTAGCATGTGCACATATATTAAATATTGTATACATAAATATTGTGTACAAATTGTATCAGATTAACATGTATCTGTTGCCTACTTTAAAAAAAAATCACATTACCAATCTGAGATGCAGTTTGTTTGTTCTTGTGAAACCACTTTCATCACATCACATATTTCTGAGATAATAAAGAGAGACAGAGACCTTTTAGCAAAAAGGGTTTAAGCAGAGGTGACCTCTCTGTTACGTATTCCTTGAACATTAAATCCACAAAAATTTAATCTTTTACATTTAACATGTGCAATTACCAATTATTGTGTCCATAGAATGGCAGCTAATGAGAGTTCCTTTCTAATAGCTTACAAATTGAGTCTGTATTAGTTCCAGTACTTGCATGTAAAGTAGACTAATGTAGTTGTATATGTTAGAGAGGTTCACATTGCTTAAAATAGGTCGTAAATCTGTATCTCTATCTGTCATCTAATAATTTCCAGTCTGCAGTGTTTGCTATATTTCAAAAGTCTGGCAGCTGCTTTCTGCCCAATTGTACTTTCTATATATTATAGGAGCGGTGGTGTGAGTGTTTTAGGATTGCCTAGTTTATCTGCGGCTTGGTTGATTTATAGGGTAGGGGGTTAGGTTGTTCTGCAACATTTCCAGGGGAAAAAAAAAAGTTGTTGAATTTTAAAGAATACATTTCTATAGTTTATGCTTACAGTACTTTGGAGTATTATAGCTTTCCATATATACTTTAGGTAATATGTATGCCTGGGGCTGGTTTGCATACTAACAGACCCCAAAATCTATCCTACAAGAGAAGTCTTGATATTCATGTGAAATATAGGGATTTCCCAGTTTGTAGGGAAAGACCCATACTTTATTTTTTGAAATATCTACTCTTAACTTCCTACTTTGTTTCTGCTTTAAGATTTGCATAAGAAAGAAGCACATAAAATGATAAAGCAAAGGCCCTCCTAATGTCTTGCCTTCTAGGGCTTGGCATTTGCTGCATTTTTCTCAAATCTGGACATAGGGAAAAAAGACCCTTATCTCATGAGGTTTTTTTTTTGGTGTCTGTATCACAGCTAGAATGATGATGATAAGAGACAGGCTTTCAGCGAGGTAAGCATAAGAACTTGCAAACGGGCAGATGCAATGTGCTTTCAGGTGCATTCAAGATCAGTTTGAGGTGCTTTTGAGATTGTTCATTGATGGGTGCATTTGAACTCCTAACTTACATCAACTGCTTCAAGCTGTTGCATTCCCATTGACATGTATAGGGAACAGAAGTAGTTATGAGGCAAACAGAACAGATCTGGACCTGAATGTTTTGGGGGTTTTTTTGTCCACACTTAATGTATTCTTAAGGTGCCCATCCATACACTTTACAACCCTCGCAAGACTTTTGTTTTGCGAGGGTTGTAAAGTACTTTAAAAAAACGTACCATCTGCCCATCTTGGACAGGCAGATCGTACTTGCGATCATCGCAAGCCCGCTCCCCTGAGGGGCGGGCTTCCGATGATTGCAATGCTGAATGGACAGTGTGCGTGTGCGCACACCGGCCCGTTCGGCTGTTATCTCTCAATCATGTTAAAAACCAGCCGAAAATCGTACGATTCTCGGCTGGTTTTCCAACATGCTCGAAATACAAAAGTTGTGCGACCGTACATTAGAAACGGTCGCACGCCTTCCATACACTGCACGATTATCGTATGATCGCGGGATTTCCAGCGATTATTAAAAGTTGCTCCGGTCCATAAGGGGTGTACAGGGGGGAACATTGAACTTATTAAAATGTTAGAAGGCAGCCATGGTACGCTTATGCTTTGTGCAGCAGAAATATTTCTGTAGCTTCTCCTGGATTTGCCTCTATCTCTAACTATTGGTAGGCTTAGGAGCTCAGAATAAAATCTGAATTATGTGAAGTCGTGTCTACACATTGGACACATGGCTGATAATATGACCCTTTTTATCATGATATTTCTTTTTCCGTTGATTAGCCAAAGGAGCTTAGGAGAGGTAAACAGGGATTTAGTGGTCATTTGTGGAGCTCTATGTGGAATGATATGGGGGGAAAAATGAATGCTAATATGAAAGAACATAAGACTGACTATCAGGAATGGTAAATTTCTGATGAAAATGCTTAAAGTGGACCTTTCACTGTCTTTACAAATCTAAGTAAATACATTCCTGACATGTCAACCATTCACGGCAGCAGTATAATCTTCCAAAACAAACTACAAAAATACTGTTCTACCTACCTAGAGGCCTTGTGAAAGTCTTTCTTTCTCTGACATTGGAACAACTATCTAACATTGAGATTAAAGGGAACCTGTGAGGTTAGAAATATAGGTGGCAATTTCTGACTTATTTTTAAATGTACAAGGCAGTCCTTTAGATCTTGTCTTTACCACCATGTAATTCACTGACACAGCACAAGCATGCAGAACAGGAGTTCATATCTTTACCAGTTGCTTGCATATTCTGGGTCAGTAACTCGGTTGATAGCAAAGCTGAAATCAGCATGGGCCTCGAATCCTGCACATTTTTAACAAGCCAGCATTGGCCACTTCCATTTCTCTCTCTTCACACATTCACTTTACAGGAAATAGAATAAATACTCTGGTTTGAGCACAGTGACAATGTTTTCTAGATTGCATAACTGTGTTTGTTGCCAGGGATTGCATTGTAATAACAAGTGACAGGTACACTTCAAAACCTTGAGGATTAGGGAGTTTTGCTTGGTTGCATCGTTGCAGTGTATTCCATGTGTATAAGCTGGTAACGTTAATAATCACTAAGCTGTTGCCCAGAAAAGGTTTAACAGCATGACCTAAAGCACAATGTTTCAAAAAATGCTTTCCTAATTGGATAAGTACTAAATCACTTTTCTCTTTTTAGAGCAAGGACCAGCTGCTCCAAGCTGACCTACAGTCTCCTGTGTCACAGCTTGCTACAAAGGTATGTCTCACAGGATTAATTCTACATGACATTGTGTTCTGTTTAAATGCTCAACCCTACTTATTTTTCCATTGCATATGTGCGTCATTGGTTGCTTTTTTTTATGAGTGATAACACAATAATTTTTCTCTATTTTACTGAAACCTGCTATCATAGTCTTACATACAATCCTTGTACGGCTGTTTGTCTTTTGTCTCCTAAGCTGACATATATGTGCAACTAGAAAGTATATAAAAACAAACGTGTGCTCAGTGTGATGACCTGTGCCGTATTGTGCTTTTTGTTTTTGGCAAATTGCATCAAAATCTTTTTTTATTCATGGCTTCACATTTGGTATATTGTCTGAATAACTAAATTGCAACTTTTAAAGCCCATTTCCAACCTTAGTAAGTGATTAGCATTTATTTCTGGTAATGTAGAGGTGCAGTGATGATGTATTTGTGTGCACATTTTCATGATTCACATTGCTTTCTTCTTCTTTTTTTTTTTAATGAACTCTTTAGTAGGCCTGAGTCCTACAAGTTGAAAACTTTCTCCACAGGAAACTCACTCTGACACTAGGGTCGGCTTGTAAAACAGCTGACCCCCTTCCTGTGAGTCATTGTAACAAGATCACTGCACACTAGCTCTGCCAGGTCACTATACACTACAACAGCATGGCACTGTGTGGACAAAAAAAACTGGTTTATTCCTATGGAGAGGCAGTCTATTATGCTTCCTAATGATAGAGGGCCTCTTCCAAAGGACTTTTTCATACATTTTCATACATTTGCAGAGGAACTGGGGGACTGGTCGAGATTGTTAGTTTGTTAGTGGCAACTGTAGGGCTTACTGTGCCTAGTGCAGCAGGTGTCTTGCAGGAACATGGGCAGGTGAGTATAATGCTTGGGTGGGGGAAGGGGGGGGGGGGCTAACATTAAAGTAACACTAAACACAGGAGTTAAATCTCAAAAATGCATTTAAGTACCTTAACTACTAACAAAAATTTACCTTATTTGTGTATCACTCAGCTGTAGATCCCCAAATCATATCTGAATTGGTGCTGACACTGTCCTTCCTTCTGGAGGGTGGCTACATTTGTTTCCTGTGACAGGGTCCCCAACCTTTTTGACACCAGGGACCAGTTTGGTGTAAGAAATATTTTCCACAGACACGGGGATGGTTTCATTTATTGTGCACTTTATTTCTATTATTATTACATTGTAATATATAGTAGCTCCTCTGCTAGACTGCCCCATGTCACACCTGCCACACATCTCCTAGGAATACTGCCCAGTGTTGCACCCTCATCCTACTTTCCTACACATACTGTCCAGTGTTATTATCTCTGGCACTCCTCAAGAACATACTGCCCAGTGTCATACCCTCCATACTCCCCTCATCCCCTTATACCATACACCCTACCTTCCTATACATACTGTTCAGTGTTAAAATCTCTGGCAATCCCCTCATGCACATACTGCCCAATTTTCTACACTACACCCGCCACTGCTACATATACCTCCCACTGTCATAACTACTAGAAATGTTCTACACAAACTACCTCTTGTCATAGCTCCACATTCCTCTCCTACACATACTGCCCAGTGTTATACCCTACACCCTCCCTTCCTAGATATATTGCCCAGTGTTATAACCAATAGCACTGCTCCCATGCACATACTGCCCAGTATCTTACTTGCACCCTCCACTGCTAAACATATTGCTCAGTGCCCAAACCTCTAGAAAGGCTCTCGTATCTCCACCCTCCCTTCCTATGCATACTGCCCAGTGTTATACCCTACACCCTCCCTTCCTATACATATTGCCCAGTATTATATCCTACACCCTCCCTCCCTATGCATACTGCCCAGTGTTATACCCTACACCCTCCCTTCCTACACATACTGCCCAGTGTTATACTATTTCCCCCCTTCTTCCAAAGCATGCTGCCCAGTGTTATACCCTACGCCCTCCCTTCCTACACATACTGCCCAGTGTTATACTATTTCCCCCTTTCTTCCAAAGCATGCTGCCCAGTGTTATACCGTACGCCCTCCCTTCCTACACATATTGCCCAGTGTTATACTATTTCCCCCCTTCTTCCGAAGCATGCTGCCCAGTGTTATACCCTACGCCCTCCCTTCCTACACATATTTACCAGTGTTATACTATTTTCCCCCCTTCTTCCGAAGCATGCTGCCCAGTGTTATACCCTACGTCCTCCCTTCCTACACATATTGCCCAGTGTTATACTATTTCCCCCCTTCTTCCGAAGCATGCTGCTCAGTGTTATACCCTACGTCCTTCCTTCCTACACATATTGCCCAGTGTCATAACCTGGTGCATACTGTTAGAGGTCAGTGATTCTGAATATGCTGACTCTTGAGACAACAAAATAATAAGTTTTTTTTAGATAGAGATCAGCAATGGCAGGCCAACCCCCACCTGTGTTTGTGTCATGACGGGTTGTCTTTTTTATTTTACTGCTTTAAGTTCCGCAGATTGACCCTGCAGTGCTGTGAGATTTGTCCTCCTATGCTCTGTTTTGTCACTGAATGTTTAACTATTTCAGCGATAATAGTGCTGAGGCTGCAGTTTTGTCCCAATGCTTTCTAAGCAGCACCTACTTTAGGTGGCTGCATACAGCTCAGTTGGGTTTGGTATTCTGTTAAAGGAGAACTATGGGGTCAGTGGTTTTCCCCATAGTTCTCCTTAGGGTAACGGGAGGACACAAACTAGCGTCCTCCCGTTACCCTAAGCTCAGTATACCGCGAGCTACAGCTCGCGGTATACTGAGATGCCGGAGCGGATCCCGACTTAGATCACGGGATCCGCCCAGCTGCATGAGTGACAGCTGGCTCTGCCTATCTAGAGGCAGAGCCAGCTGTACCCGCCCCCTCCCCCGTCCGTTCCGCCAGTCAGCGCTGGCAGATCGGAGCAGGGAGAGGGGAATCCAGCCCCTCCCCCTGTCACGGCAGAGAGCCGTGACAGGATCGAGAGGCGAGCGAACCTGGTATGTGTTCGCTCACCTCCCGATCTACTGAGCCGACCTGTGACAGTCTCATTGTCACAGGTCGGCTAGAACTATGAGGTGAGTGAAGAGCACTCACCTCATAGTTCTCCTTTTAAGTATTTTCTCATTTTTGTGTGTTGAATATAATTCAGATCTGAATAGATGACTAAACAATCAACAACGTCCACTATAACTTGTTAGCTTAATCTGCACCAAAAATAAGACAAGTGTTTCCTGATGGAGGGAATCTGCTGTAGAGGAAACTTTATGTGTAAACGCCCTAAGATGTATTAATCACAGGAGCTTTAATGCTTTGTATTCTTTTACTAGGCAAGTGCTTATTTTATCATGATTTATTATGTTTACTTAAGAAGTTAATTTTATTTTGTTTCCTTTCTTACTAATTACTTGATTATCTCATTATTCCACTGACCTTAAAGAACACATCCACTGTAGAGAACATTTTTTTTTTGTGTGCTTCTGATCATTGGAAAGAGAAGGACAAACAATTGTTGCCAAAGCAAAGGAAGAATGTGAAGGGAAACAGTCCCCATTTGTGCCCTATGTTATTGTTTGTTTCTGTAAAGTTTCCTGTGGAAATGTAGGCTGCACAAACTAGAGTGTTTGTCTATTTCATTCACATTATATTTCCATTTCTAATGCACTAGTGCAGCCTTTCTAAACCAGGATGCCGTGGCACCCTGGAGTGCCTCTGCCCTTCTCAGGAGTGCCTCGAAATTTTCACACAGTATCATGCTTTTCCATGGTATAGACAGGCTTCTGATGTGATGGGGGAACTCTGCGGTGAAAGGGGGTCCCTAATAGGAATCGAAGCAGAGCTCTGATCTGATGTGTGGGAGGGGGGCTCCTGATGTGAAGGGGGACTCTGACGTGAAAGGAGGGGGCTCCTAGTGTAGGTGTGGGGGGGGGTTTGGGGGGGGGGGGGGGGGTGCCTCTGAAGTGAAGGAGTCTGATTTGAAGGGAGGACTGTGATAAGGTCAAGGGGGAACCCCATTTTTTAAGTTTTGTTTTTGCTTGTGGTCCCCCTTTAAAATCCATACCATATCCCTATCTGGGATAAGGCCCTTGTATGAATTTTGGAGGAGCCGCAAGTTGTTTTTTACATTTTAGACTGAGGTGTCTTGAGATTTTAAATACTTTTAAACGGTGCACAGCTGGCTTCTGCTTAGCCGCTCTCTGGCACCAGTGTGCCTGAAATGGTCTTTTCAATGTTGTTTCCAAGGGCCCCCATACAGGAGCAAAAGCAAAGCACAGGTATGCATTTTTTTTCTCAACATTTTTCAACCTGTATTGGAAAATGGAAGAAATTTGATGCTAGGGCAGCACTTTTACTTTACTTTCTACCCATTTTTACACAAACCATGATGTTTTGCATTGCTGTGCACAAAGACTATAATGTCTGCATTATCTTGAACCCAGATTTCAGATTTTTGAATAGCGATAGTATTGAATTAATGAATTTGTTTACAACCGTTCCCAACAGCAACAGACTTGCGTTGGACCACATTTTGCCTGTGCATCTCATTTTAGTAAGAAAGGAAGCAAGGGCAATTGAAACAAGTGTTGAGTGAATATCTGGACATAGCCTCCAATGTGTGAAGGTCAAACAATGAAATCACATGTCTAGGCTAGAAAGAAAAAAAAGAGATGGATTAGAATTTTTCAAATCTTCCTTGAAGCACTTTCAGTGTATTTTGAAGAAATTCATGAAAAAAGTTCATAGAAATTGTCACTTTGCCCATACAGGGCAATAGGATAATGTGTACACATAGCCTAACCCCCTAGGAATGTGTTCTTAACCCACCAACGATCCACCCCTTCCCTCTGCTGTAAACAGCTCCAGCAGCAGCAGCGATGGTGACAAAACTTCAAAAGGAAGAATCTATTAACCCAACAAAAGGAAGTGCGTGTGCAAGGTTCTACTGGCAGGATCAGCAGGTATTTACAAAAAGTTTGGGGGGTACTTTAAAGAACCCGTTCACAC